TCCGGAGCCAGCTGGATCTGAAGTTTCAGAACCAGATTAAAGTCCAGACCCAGCTGGATTTGAAGTTTCAGAACCAGATTAAAGTCCAGATCCTGGATCTGAAGTTTTTGTGGATCAGTGTCAGACTCTGTCCTTCAGGCTCATCCGGGCTCTTCAGTTCTGGACGAGTTTCCAGGTGAACAAACGGAACTTTCTCCACCTGAAGCCTCTCCGGGACCTCGGTCCAGACCTGGTTCTGGTCTCCCGCGGGTCCTCTTACATAACAGGAGGGGGCTCTCCGTGAACGCACCCCCCCCCCCCCCGCGCCCCCGCAACCCCCATCGAGCTGCCAGCTGCTTTCTCAACATTTCCTTCACTTGATTACTTTTTAATTGCATCACCGCGCGCGCGCACGGGCTGAAAACCGAGCACGCGCTTTAACGAATGCAGAAAGTTTCCGACTCGCGGGCTCGTGTTTTACGCACCAGTTAGGACTGGTTTTCTTTTAGTTTCTGGGTCCATGAGAGACTACTGCGCGGATCCTCTGATGTTTTTATTTTTTTATTCCGTTTTAAAGTTGAACCGAATCACTGGTCACTCAAAATTTAAAATTAAGATCATGGGTTTGCACCTCCGCGGTTGCGGCTCACACAAAGGGTTTTTACCGTCGTTTTCTCTTTAAAATCCACGTTTAGTGGTCAAATAAGCTTCATCTAGTTTCCTTATCAAGTCCTATTCTGTGTTTTTGTGCAGTGAAAACATTTTAAACTCTCCTGGCTCCAGAAAAGGAACGAAAACCGACAAAAATGCTGAAAATGAAACGAGAAAACGCTTTGCGGTCTCACTGCGCCCCCTGCTGGCCACACCCGGAACTGCAGGCTCCTCTTAAAGGGCATGTCGAGGAACCGGAAGAGGTTTTTAAGGTGGACCGGCTGAGTTCGGCCAACTGGTTGTCAAGACAAAGGGCTCAGAGGGCAAACTGGACTCGACCCGCACCGGTTCTGGCGGGTTTTAAAAATGTATCTAAACTAAACGCACCACGGAGTGAAGGAACTCCCAGAGAGGAGCAGCTCAGCCCAAGGTTTCAAAAAACACGAACAGCTGGTGACATTAATTTTATTTCAGCTCAAGTTTTTTTAGTCTGAGTCTTAAAAATGAAAGAAACTGCTGTGATCGGAGGAGAAAAGCGCAAAACAGTTCAGATTATTTTGCGTCAAAGAAAAAACACTGCGCCATTTTACGCACGGTAAAGAACAAAAACCAACAAGACTCCCGTTGTCTTCTTTAACCTCCTGGTGTCGTTTGTCAGCAAAACAAAGAGTGGATCAAAGAAGGTTATATTTAAAGATTTTCCATTTTTATTCTAAATAACTGCTTATATGATGGAAGGTCACCTTCCCCCCTGTGCGGTTTGGAACGGCTCCGTCTTGATTTGAATAAAATTAATATTTTTCCTAAAAAACTAAAAGCTTCAGTCAGATGTGAAGCTCAGAGGCACAAAGAACATTTAATCCTGTCTGTGACAGTAAATGAACTCGGTCTTAAAGTAAAAGTCCGTTTGGACCGAGCCAAAGAGAAACGCTGCAGCTAAAGATGATTTTTTTTTTTTTTTTCCAAAATGCCCCAGAAGGGTCAGAGGTTTGACCAGAGGGGCCCTCTCTGCTCCTGTTTGACCCCTGAGCTGTGGAGCCTCCTCTTCCTCCTCCTACATCGTTTGCATACAGTCCAGTCCCTCCCCTTGTCCCCCCTCACCTGCAGGTCTCGGTTCGGTTCTGGCCCCTCTCTCCATCATTCGTACATCCCACCCCCGCGGTTCGGCTCCTCGGCTCCATGAAGACTCCGCGACCCAAAGGTTCTGGTGACCGCCTGGATGAAGGGTAAGGGTCAGATCCAGCTCTGGTCCAGGATATTTACTGGAAAATGATTTCTGAGGGAAAACATCCCATCGACCTCAACATGAAGCGGTTTTATTTTATTTAATTTAAACAAAACCGGCATTTTTATTAAATTAATTCAACATAAACGACTCCCAGTTTGGATTTTAGCAGCATTTATTCTTTAATATCTAATTTTATTATGTCTCTGCGCCTGAACATCTGCTTTTAGAGATAATAAAAATGGAGGATCCAACATTAGATTTACTTAAATTTTATGTTAAATGGTTGAACTAAAATGCTTCAAAGTGATAATTAATATCTAATAATCCATAAATTCAGAAGCACATGGAGCATATATTTACTCAGTTTGGCTGTTAAATTGGATTAAATTACAGTAGCAATAATCTGTTAGTTTAGAGCAACAAATCTGCTCATGTTGGCTCAGAGTGAGTTTCTTTTAGGGTTTCGCTCTTAACAGACACAAAGTTATGTTTTTATTATTTTATAACAGTCTCCTTAAAATAAAATGTTGCTATTTCAAGAAGCTTTGATTTGATTTTATTTAAGGGTCGTTTTTGGAGGTTGTGGCTCCTGAATGTGCAGCAGTGACTTCTGCAAATCATAACTAATAATTATGAGACTTGTCATACAGAACAGAATAAATATAATCTTTGCCTTTGGATGAAATAATCCAACGTCCAAAGTTTTAAATGTGCAGTTAGTTTTTTCCCGCCTGAGCTGCAAATTTATGGTTCAGAAAAAAGAAATGAGAAAAGTCAGAACAAGGAACCAAACAACAACTAATGAAGTCAGACGTAAAGCGGTGACTGTAATTATGATTTTCATCACTTTTACCCCAAATAACGTCGTTTTACGGCCAAAGACTCTCAATCCTGAGCCTTCTGGTTGTTTCTTTGCCTGATTAAATCTGGCACTTCCTGTATTTTTATTTATTTATCAATGAGCTCCAATAAAATAAACAAAAATATTGCCACAAACGCTGTTCGAGAGCTTAGTTACGTCGATATCTGTCTCATAAATATTGTTCCCGTCTGTAAAACCTGTTTGGGTGCACAGCTGAAGGGTCAGATGTGGCCTTTATGAGTTTTGCATCAACACGTTGAAGAACTTTGACGTTTTTATGCAACGTTTCCACGTTTCTGTGCAAAACGTCTGTTCCTGAAGGTGCCGGTTTGCAGCGTCGTCCTCGGAGGCTCGTCGCTGTGGAAACCGGCTGCACGCTCCAGCGGCCGGCGGCTGTTTCAACACTGAAGAAACAAAAGACGTGAGAAGAGGACGGAGGAGACAAAGGTGAGGGACGACCGGCCTCCTCTGAGCTGCAGACACGTGAAGTTTCTCAGGTTCTCACGTCGTTCGTCTGCCTCTCAGCGAAGAGCGGGGAGGAAACGCTGCCTTCCCCAGAGCCGAAGGGACGCTTCTGCTCAACGTTAGTGAGTCGGTGTCTCCGGTGCAGGCAGTGAACGTCTCTGCACGTCCCACAGGTCAGCTGGTGCTGAACTGCTGGGTTTTACTGCTGCAGCTCCTGAAGATACGTCACAGTGAGTCCAACTTTGTTATTCTGGGAGAATAAGTTCAAGATTAAAGCTGAAATTATAAATATTTACATGAGCAGCTTTATTTCTGTTCATTTGTAATCGATTTTTGGCTTTTGACTTATTGTTTATTTATTGTTTTGCTTCTTTTCAAACATTTTATTTGTTGTAAAATGATCACTTGTGTTCAGAGCTTCTGCAAAAACCTAAAAATATAAAATAAATTGATACCAGTTAATGACGTATTTTAATTCAATTAATTATAATTTAACTTCCCACATTTTGCCCATAAAAACTAAACTACATGCATCGCCCTAAAAATACAATAAAAACAACTTAAAAACCAAAAGAGATTTAAATTTATTATGTTCTCTGTTGGTTCAAACTTTTTCTGGTTTCATCACAAATTTAGACATTTGCTCTAATCCAACATTTAAATTTTATTACAGTGTAAAGATAATTTATAAATTAATATTTTTTTTTGAATTTATGTAAAAAAAAAGTTCTCCTTTGCTCACAAACCTTCAAAATAAAAGCATGTGCATGCAGATAAAATGGATTCAGGATCTTAATTGATATTTTTGTGATCTTGTGAGGATTTTTTAAATTTAAGATGAAAATAAATTGACGGTTGTTTAAGGGAACAGAACCGCTCTTGTGTCACTGTGACGACTTGCAAAGGTCAAAGGTCACCCGTGAGGTTAATGGTTCCTTTAAACCATGAAACCCGTCGGTTCAGAGCAGATGATCAGTTTTTAACAACCACGTTCATCAGACGCATCATGACGTCCTGACTGTCCTTCGTTCAGGTTTGTGCGTCTCCTGCTGCTCCTCCTCCTCCTCACGGCCCCCCGCAGACAGTTCAGTGATCGCCTTACTCCACGGGCCCCCGGTGCCCCCCTCCCCTGGTCCCTCTTCATCTTTGGACTCCAACAGTCGGCCAGTGGAGGCGGCGTTCCTCTGTGACCCGGGCGCCCTGCAGGCCCGTCTGAGGGAAGGTCCGGTTGGCGCCCACAGACAAGAACTCACCGAGGATGTTTGTATTTTCAGCTCGGAGCGTCTGAATCAAAGTGTGGTGAGTCTGGATCAGAACCAGCAGCATGTCTGGGTTCTAAAGGGTCTGGATCAGAACCAGCAGCATGTCTGGGTTCTAAAGGGTCTGGATCAGAACCAGCAGCATGTCTGGGTTCTAAAGGGTCTGGATCAGAACCAGCAGCATGTCTGGGTTCTAAAGGGTCTTTTTTTTTATCCAGTTTTATTTTTATTGACGAGTTCTATCTAAAGCCAAAACTTGTTTCTATTTGTCATTTCAACTTTTTTTTATTTAAAAATGGAATTTTTTTTTAATTTCTAAACATCCAACATGATAAAAAAGACCAATAAATCACAAATAAATTGATTAATTTAAATCCAAACATTTTTTCCCACACGTCAAATGCTCCAAAACTGAAACAAAAAAAAAAGTTAAAACAAATTTCAAAGTGTGAAAATCAGCTAAAGTTATTTTTTTTCCTGTTTTGTCCTGAATAATATTTAGTTAGAAAAAATGTAAACATGATTATGAAGAGGTTTTATTTGGGAAAAGCATAAAAAAATGAGAGAAACTGCATTTTCTGCTCAATGGCTGCTGAAATTAGAAGCTGAACTGAAGTAGCAAAAACTAAAAACAAAACAATAGCCAAAAGCTAAAATTATCATGAGGCTAGTCAAAAGTAGCTAAATTCTAGGGGTAGCTAAATGTTACAAGCATTAAAACGCTACCTATCTGAAAGTAGCAAAAGGCTATAGCTAAAAGCTAAAAATTTCAAAGACTATCCAGAGGCTAAAAGTATCAAAATACTAATGAAAATCTAAAATAATCAAATAGCTAAAATTAATAAAGACAAGCTAAAATTATCCACGGGTAGCTAAAAGACAACAGTATCAAAAGGGTAGCTAGAAGATAGTCAAAAGTAGTTAAACTCTAGCTAAACATAGGGGTAGCAAAATGCTACAAGCATTAAAAATGACTTAAAATCTGAAAGTAGCAAAACGCCAGCTAGACGCTAAAATATTCTAAGCCTATCCAGAAACTAAAATTAATAAAGACAAGCTAAAATTATCCAAGGGTAGCTAAAAGCTAAAAATCTCAAATGGCTAGCTAGAAGCCAGTCAATAGTAGCTAAACTCTAGGGGTAATTAAACGTTACAATGTTACCTAAAATCTGAAAGTAGCAAAAGGCTAGCTAAAAGCTACATTTTTCAAAATCTATCCAGAAGCTAAAAGTATCAAAAGACTAACTTAAAGCTAAACATAATAAAAAGCTAGCAAGAATTAATAAAGACAAGCTAAAATTATCCAAGGGTAGCTAAAAGCTAAAAATATCAAATGGCTAGCTAGATGCCAGTCAAAAGTAGCTAAACTCTTGGAAAGCTAAATGTTACAAGCATTAAATGTTACCTAAGATATGAAAGTAGCAAAAGGCCAGCTAAAAGCTACACTTTTCTAAGTTTATCCTAAAAGTACCAAAAGACTAAATGCTAATAAGCAAAAGGCCAGCTAAATTGAATAAAAACAAGCTAAAAGAAGGGTAACTAAAAGCCAAAAGTAGTAAAAGGTTAGCTAAAAGCTAATCAAATGTAGCAAAACTCTAGGGGTAGCTAAATGCTACAAGCATTAAAACGCTACCTAAAATCAAAACGCTACCTAAAATCTGAAAGTAGCAAAATGACAGCTAAAAGCTAAAATATTCTAAGCCTATCCAGAAGCTAAAATGATCAAGACTAACTAATAGCTAAAATAATCCAAAGGCTAGCTTAAAATTAATAAAGACAAGTTAAAATTATCTAAGCATGGGTAGCTAAAAGCTAAAAACATCAAAAGGCCAACTAATAATTAACAAAAGAGCCAACTAGCTAAAAGCATCCTAGAATGATGATCATCAGAGGAAACTCTTAAATAAAAACTTCCTTTTGTTGGTGGAGCTGTGGGAGGTGGGGGTGCAGAGGGTGCTGCAGCACCCCCTGGTGGCTGCCACAGGAAGCGCAGTCCACATAGAATGATACACGGTGTGAGTGAATGTCTCCTGTGAGGATGGATGGACCCAGGTCTCATGTTGTGAATGCTCTGCTTTGAGCTTCTGCCACAGAGCTCTAAAACACCCTGACTTTGTCCAAAACAAACAAACAAACAAACAAACAAACAACCAGCCTCATCTCCCTTTGATCACCTGTATGCAGGCGTTTGTTCATCCTGACGCTCAGCTGACGGGCAGATCCTCCACGAGCTGCCTGCTCATCCTCAGACTCGTGCCGGAAGCAGAACGCAACGCTGAGGGCGGCCGTAACCACGGCAACCTGACCAACAAGCATCGTGTCAGTCGACAACGTGGCGGCATCCTCTCACGCCTCGATGCCCACCGCCTCCTCCGCCCGTCCAGCTGCCGTCTGCCACAAGATGGACTTCATCCGTGGTGTCAACCGCTCACTTGTCAAAGGAGAGAAGACGACGGTGAAGAAGTCCAAACGAGTTTAAAACTAATTAGTTATTATTATTTAAAGACGAGAGTTTCTCTGTCAGTCTCCCTCAAACTGTCCGTCTTCTCTTCTAGCTGTGAGGATTTGTGCAACAAAACAAGCATTTCCAACAAATACAGACGTTACCTTCCTGGCTGTGGCCGACGTGGTGCAGCCTGTGGACTTCTTCTGGGACTTTGGAGACTCCAGATCAGACAGAACGTCTTCAAGGTCCATCACCAGAGGGTACCAGAACCCTGGGAGGTATGGGACACCTGCCACACATCACAAATACGCCATTTGTTTCTTTTAGTCCTAAATTTATATGGAAATAGTTCTAATGTTCACTCTTAAAGAGACAACAAAAAGAGGATCGAACAACCCAAATATTTCATCATATTTGATAAATATGAGTTTGATAAATATTTACATGTTAGAGCTTTAGGAAGTGATTGTGTGAATGTTTATGAAGCAGTCGCTCTACTGTGATCCATTTTTCTTCCATACATTTTTCGTCCCGCAGTTTTCATCTATTTCATCAAATCATAAATCAAAACATTCGGCTCTTTCAGGACAATCCTGCTGTGACTTCTGGTATTGGCGCAACTTTAGCTGTTTGAAACATTTAGCCTTTTCTGCCACTTTTGTCTCATATAAAATGAATTGAGCTCATTTTCCATCCTTCAGATCTTTAGATGTGTTTACAACCTTTTACTGCTCCTTTCACATTTTGTTCTGCTTCAGCTTCTTTCAGCTTCCTTTTGCAAATTTAAACTTACGGTCAGCTACTTTCAGCTACTTTCAGCTGTTTTGTGCTCCTTTCAAATTCTTTCTGCTAATGACAATTTTTGTGCTTCATCTAACTTCTTTATGCTAATTTCAGCTTGTTAGGCTCCATCCATCCATCCATCCATTTTCTTTACCCGCTTATTCCATTTTGGGTCACGGGGGTCGCTGGTGCCCATGTCCAGCAATCACTGTGCGAGGGGCGGGGTACACCCTGGACGGGTCGCAAGTCCATCACAGGGCCACATAGAGACAAACGAGACAAACAACCATTCACTCTCTCACTCACACCTAGGGACAATTTAGAGTTACCAATCAGCCTAACATGCATGTTTTTGGTCTGTGGGAGGAAACCGGAGTCCCCGGAGAAAACCCACGCATGCACGGAGAGAACATGCAAACTCCACCCAGAAAGGCCCCTGGACCGGGGTTTGAACCAGGGACCTGCTCGCTGAGAGGCAGCAGCTCTACCAGTTGCGCCACCGTGCTGCCCGCTTGTTAGGCTCCTTTCAGATTATTTTTTTTACAAGTTTCAGCTTTTTCTGATTTTTCAGCTACCATTTAGCTGTTTTTATGCAAATTTTAACATTTTCAGCTAATTCCACATTTGTTGCCCTCATTTAAACTTATTTCTGCCTAATTAAGCAAAACTCTCTCCACTTCCTTCTGCAAATTTGTTTCTTTCAGCCTTTTTTAGCTTTTTGCTAATTTCAGCTTTTTTTTCCCAATAATTTCCACCTTTTTGTGCTAATTTTTGCTTCTTTCAGCCTAATTGGGCAAATGTGTTATTTCTGCTTTCTTCTGCTAATTTAAGCTTGTTCTGCCTTTTCAGCTACCTTGTTAGCATTTTTTTAGCTAATTTCAGCTGTTTTCAGATAAATTCAATTTTTTTTGTGGTCATTTCTGCTACTTTCTTTTCATTAATTTTAATTAACTTCTTTATGCTAATTTCAGCTTGTTGTGCTCTTTTCAGCTTATTTCTGTTAGTTTCTGCTATTTCAGCTACTATTTAGCTTAAATAGTTTTAAAAATGTACAATTTTTTTTTTTGCTGTTTTGTGCTACATTGAGCTTTTTCAGCTAATTCTACATTTTTAGGTAATTTCAGCTCCTTCCACTTAAGTAGTTTAAGCTTCCTTCTGCCTTTTCAGCTACTTTTCATCAATTTTTTTAGCTTATTTCAGCTTTTTTTATATATCTAATTTCCTAACTTTTTTGGTCATTTATGCCGTTTTAAACTTAATGTGTTATTTCTTCTGCTACCTTAGGCTTGTTCTTCCATTTAAGCTACATTTCAGCATGTTTTTAGCAAATTTCAGCACGTTCTTCACCAATCAGCATTCACACTGCATTTTAATTGTAAATGCCAACAGCTAAAGCAGTTCTGGTGCAGCTTGGGGGACTTTAGGGAGGAATGACCGACAATGTGAGAATCCTCATGAATTATTTTAAACTGGAGTTAATTACGACACCTAAACTAACTAGTTGTGCACCGATTTGGTAAGAATTTAATTATTTGTCCAAACTGGGTAGACCTAGCTATCTACAACAGGTAAGATATTAACTGTTCAGAGTTTTTCTACCCCACCTCAATAGATCTGAATCTCTTTAATGCTCCACCTGTCAACTCACGGTTCCACTCGTCTCCACCTAGTTACGGTGTGTTTGTGGTGGCATCTTGGGCTCGGACCGTCGTCATCTCCGATGTGTTCCCGGTCCTGGTCCAGAGAGCCGTGGAGCTCAACAGGCTGGTCCACCCGGCCTCGGTCCTGAAGGACCAGGCTGTCACGGTGAGCTGCCGGGTCAACGCCGGGACCAACCTGACCTTCAGGTGGAGCTTCGGTGATGGACCCAGCAGGTCTGGACAGAGAACCACACAGCATGTCTTCAGCAGGTGACCACTTCAGGTTCTGTGATTTTACTGTAAATTAGAGTTTTATTATAAGTTTTATTTTTTATCATGCAGGACAGGAGAGTTCACAATCAACGTGACTGTGTCCAACCTCGTCAGCTCTGCGTCTCTGAGCAGTCTCATCTTTGTTGTGGACCGGCCCTGTCGGCCTCCACCAGTTAAAAACATGGGCCCGCTCAGACTGCAGGTACCAACAGAACCCGAGCCTTGATCAGAACCTGCAGAAGAACTCTGCTGCAGACGATCAGTCTTCCTGTTTGTGTTCAGGTGTGGAGGTTTGAGGTGATCCGTCTGGGGGTGACGCTTGAGTCCGATGTTGAGTGTGACACATCAGGAGGCCTTCGGTACTCCTGGACCTTATCGGACTCTGCAGGACGGGTCGTCCCTTTGTCTCTCAGAGACAAACACAGACAGACCCTGGAGCTGCCGAGCCGAGTCCTCCAGTACGACTCGTACACGGCCACAGCTAGAGTGAGTCCAAAACAAGTCAGCTCATGACGGGGACCCTTGGATCCACTGGAGACACTGCTGTGACAGCTGAAACTTATTCAAGGCTAAAGCAAGAAAACAGCAAAAGAGAAGCTAAAAGCTACAATTCATAAAGCAGGTGCTACAAAATGAGCAGAAAAGTTGCTAAAACCTCCAACTAGCAGAAATGAAGCGCAAAGAGATGCAGTAGCTTAAAAGTAAATAAAACAAAAAATGCAGCTAGAAGCTAAATTTACTAAAACCATGCCTAAACATTTAAATTAGCAAAACAGAAGCTAAAACAGCATTTTTAGAATCAGACAAAGAGGCAGCTAAAAGCTTAAATGAGCTAAACTGTAACTTAAAGCCCGAAGTAGCTAAACTAAGGCTAAAAAGTTAAATTCAAAACAGTAGTTCAAAAGCTCATGTTAGCAAAATCATAGCTAAAAGCTAACACTTGAAAAATAAATGTAGCTAGAAGCTAAAATTAGCTCAGTTGAAAAGCTCAATTTCTCAAAACAGTAACAAAAAAGTAAATAAATGAATTAAGATAGAAGGTAAATAAATAACCTGATTTGTAGCCAAAAGCTAATGTTAACAAACCATAGCTAAAAGCTAAAACTTGAAAAATAAATGTAGCTAAAAGCTAAAATGAACTAAACTGTCACAAAAAGCTCAATTTAGTGAAACAGTATAAAATAATTTTAACTAAGACAGTAGGTAAATAAATGAGCTAATTTGTAGCTAAAAGCTAAAACAGAAAGACAGTAGCTGAAAGATGAAAAGTGAAAACCTGTGAGAGTACAAAGAGAAAAATATTTTTGACTGAATTAAGTAAATTTTGATGTATTTCTTTTTAAGGTGGATTATTTTGAAAGTGACACAAACAAGATGCAGACGCTGCATCTCTGAGCTGAACATTTTCATATACGAGCAGCTAAAACTGCATAAAGCTCAGCAGAGGTTTGATGATAACTTTAGACACCTTGACTCAAGTTGGTGCTGAACTGGTGCAACATTCTGGCCCTGTGGTCCTGTGGTCCAGTGGTCCTGTTGTCCAGTGGTCCTGTGGTCCAGTGGTCCAGTGGTCCTGTTGTCCTGTGGTCCAGTGGTCCTGTTGTCCTGTGGTCCAGTGGTCCAGTGGTCCTGTGGTCCTGTTGTCCTGTGGTCCAGTGGTCCTGTGGTCCAGTGGTCCTGTTGTCCTGTGGTCCTGTGGTCCAGTGGTCCAGTGGTCCAGTGGTCCAGTGGTCCTGTGGTCCAGTGGTCCTGTTGTCCTGTGGTCCAGTGGTCC